TCCTCACTAGTTTAAGATCACCACTCCCCTCCGAGTGATCCGATAATCCCCCACTGTGTGCAGTAAGAGTGTCACTGTCCTTGCCCATCCTGAGACTGACCTTCCAGCCCCCTTTTTATGAACTATTGAATTTGCTTGTTTGCTTCTTCATCCTATGCCGTACCCCTCATACAGGCAGCTGGGGGGCTTGGCCTGCTCCCCGATAGTGCATAATTAAAGAAATACCTCACTTCTGAAATACTGTAATAGCCATTATAGAGGCAGGCGTTAGGTGGGCATAGTAATGCAGCTTAGAAAAGAAATGTTTTTAAAATCACACGAACTATGCAATTTCTTTAAAATCACCGAGCAAGAAAAACATTAACCTTTAGTAGTGATTTTCCATAGCTTCTATACTGTACCCTGACTTAAATCCAAAAGGCAAACGTTAAGACGCTCCTCTATTTTACATAAACAGCTCTATGGTAAACTTAGGTGACTTTTCCCCCTGGATTTCCTCTGGGAGCGGCTTTTTTTTTTTTTTTTTTTTGTACCAGGAATCGAATTCATGACCTCAGGATTGCCAGGCAAGCGCTTATGCCACTGAGCTATGTCCGCAGCCCCTCATTTTATTTAAAAGAGGGCAGGTTTGGCACTTTTATACTGGTGTCACCAGTAGGTTAACATTTCTTGGGATCTCAGGAAGGTTCATAGTCTTTACAGCTGATACAGCACGGGCTAGAGCTCCTGCTAAGCCAGCCTCAGATTTCTCCAGTTTATTTTGTGCATCCATTTGTGTAACAATTTCATTCACGTTGGTCTCCAATACCATTCCCCATCACCATTTTCGCAAAAGTATTGTGAACCCTGTCTACATGGAAAATTAAATCTAGTTCACAGACAGTTCCAGAAAAAAGTTCTTTTTGTTTTGTTTTGTTTTGTTTTTGATACCTGGGATTGAACTCAAGACCTTACATTTGCCAGGCAGGTGCTTGTGCTGCTGAGCTATATCCCTGGCCCTGGTTTTTTTTTTTTTTTTTTAATTTCTTTTTTTGAGACAGGGTCTCACACCACGTGGTCCAGGCTCGCCTTGAACTCACTCTCTAGCCCAGGCTGGCACAGTGATCCTCCTGCCTCAGCCTCCTGAGTGCTGGCATTACAGGGGTGCGCAACCACAGCTGGCCAAGAAAAGGTTTAAGAGGGGATAATGAATGCCCGGTAGCTCTTGAGCACATTCATGCACAGACTGGCATTAAAGCCAATCATTATCTACGAAAAATTATAACGAGGAAGTCCCTTCAAATCCAATGTTTGCATTTCTAGGGATTAACCTTAATGAATGACTTACAAATTTAGGTAAACAAGTCTTAGGAAAGATACTGCAACATCGAGCAGGTAATGTGAAGCACATGCTTTCATTCACACCCAAATTCTTGATTTTTACTCCCTGCACATTGGGATGCACAGCTAGTTGGCCAACCCAAGTACAAAGGAGTCACTATTCATTCTTTGATCATGAAAAAGCCAGCAGTGAGTCCTATATCTCTTTCTCCTCTCAAATCTCTACTATCAACCAGGCCGCAACCACTGTCTTTCACCTGGGCTACAGCGAAAACCTTTTGAGTCATTTCCTCCTGTTTATTCTTGTGTCCCAGGCACAGAGGCCAAAAATGATCATTTTAAAACACAAACAAGATCACGAATTTCCTGTGGAAAACTCTTCCATGAATATACACTGCAATTCAAGCAAAATCTACATGCCTCAGTGGCACCTAACTGCCTCTCCAAGCTCAAGTTCACCTCTGCCACTTTCTCCCTTGCTATGGTCATGCTAGCCAAAAGTGACAGCTTCGAAAGCCACCAAGCTCTTCCCATTTCCAAGGCCCTTACTCAAGTTTTTCTCCAGCCTGCGAAGCATCTTTCAGAGCTGGTTCCTTGTTACCCAGTTATTACTATGTACCCTTCCCTGCCCACCTCGTTACCCACATGCACACCACGGTTTCATTATGTTTGTCCCTTCCATCCACTAACCTCAGTCTGCAGTTTTATTTGTTTTTGTTTTGGGGGTGCGTTTTTTTTGTCTGTTTTTTTACAAAAAAATTTTTTTTTGTACCAGGAATTGAACTCAGGACCTTGCACTTGGCAGGCAGGCGCTTGTGCCGCTGAGCTATATCCCCACCCTTTTCTGTCTTTTACAGGGTCTCACTATGCAGTTTAGGCTGGCCTTGAGCTCCCTTTGTTGCCCAGGCTGGCCTCAAACTCACAGTGATCCTCCTACCGCAGCCTCCAGATTGCTGGGATTATAGGTAGTTTTTTTGGTAATTGTGCATTTCTTCCCATTAGTACAGAAAATCTAGATGGTATAAAGCTGTTTGACTGTTATTATTTCAGTATCATGTGCAGTTACTAATGACAAATATTTGTTGTACAAATTGCAACGTAACATAAGGGCAACCTGAGTTTTTCTAATTCAGTCCTCTAGTAAATCCAGTCTGCTGAATGATGAAAAATATCAACTAGTTCAACAAGAATTTGGTGAAAATTTGCACAGTAAACAGTAATGTACTCAAAGTTTCTGCTCTGACTTCAGTAAACTTTGCTTTATCTCTGGGGCACACACACGCACGGATTCACAAATTCATTTGTGGCCACTACCTTTCAGGAAACAGACATTGTCTCGACTGGCTACAACTGAAGGTGTATGTGAGCAGCTCCCATCAAGCTTTTGCACTGGGAGAGAAGTTTACGCTTTAATGGAGAAAGTCAGAGATTTCTGAACAAAGTTTGTTTTTACTTTAAGAAAGAACATCTGATTAACAGGAAGAGTGTAAGCCTAGGGGCAGCACCAAAGATTATCATCTAGATACTACAAACACAAAGCCCTTCTCACTATCACAGAATCAGTATGTGCTCTAATGTGGCAGGTTAGATTGTTCTTGATTATCCACATTTCAAAGGTACTGTACTGAGCCGGGCGGTATGCCTCGTTCCTAAAATTACCTCCAATAAAAGTAAGTCAAATATGCAAGAAGTTTTTTTTTTTTTTTCTTTTTGGTACTGGGAATTGAGCACAGGTCATTGTTACTTGCCAGGCAGGCGCTGTGCCGCTGAGCTATATCCCCGGTCAATAAGTCAAATATGCTTAACGCTATCTTTTGTTATCTTTAGCAGCATTTGTAGTACGTAATGACTGCATTTTTGTGTGGGGTGCTGACACATGTACATAATACATATTAATTCTTCTTATGTCCCTTGCCCCTCCTTCCTGCCATTTTGGTCCCTTTCCCATTTGCCAAAGATCTATGTCCCCATTTTCTATTATCTATCTCTGGGTTTCTCATAGGAGAGACACCATACGTGTAAGTTCAAAGGTCTGGTTTATTTCATTTAACATTATGGGCTCAAGGTGCAGCTATTTTCCTACAAATGACTCAAATATATTCTTCCTTATCGCAGAGTAGTACTCCACTGTGTACAAATACCTTTTGTTTATCTATCCTCTATTGATGGACACATCGGCTGCTTCTAAAGTTTTAGCTATCATGAACTATGCTGCTATAAACATGGTCATGCTTGTATCATGGTAATATAATGTAATCTTGTCCAATCTTAGATAATATACTAGAATCTACACAAGTACTACTTCTACTGGTAACATTTCCTTGTTTTGGGGGGCGTTGATAACGGAGCTTGAACCCAGGGCCTTTTTCCTTAGCTACATCCTCAACCCATTTTAATTTTAAGCCAGGGCCTTGCTAAATTGCTAAACTGACGAGGCTGGGCTTGATCCTATGCCTCAGCCTCTGAGAAAGCGAGGATTATATTTGTTCACACCTGTACAAGCTCTCCTTTCATTTCAAACTGTACCACGTTCTAAAAGAATTCTCCATTTATCTATCTGTTTGTGTATTCCATCTTTACTTTCAAAATGAAGTTTCCTAGCCAGGCGTACTGGTGCAGCGGTAGGAGGATCACAGCAAGTTTAAGCTCAGCCTGGGCTACATCGTGAGTTCAAGGCCAGCCTGAAATACATGGCGAGACTCTGTCTCAAAAAACAAAACAAAAACCAAAACAGTTTCCTTACCGAATAAATGCACCCCTAAAACCACGCTGCACAATATACACTTTGCTACTGAGAATATAATCCTACCTGTTCTCATTGTATAATTGGGAAATTGGTGTAGGGAGAGATTAACGATTTAATACTAATTTTAATATTAGCGCATGAATATAAAAATCATAACTTCTAAAAATAATAGCCGTAGTTCAGCAGCCTCACAGTCTCTTTTCCTCTTCCTCTGAGCCTTTTCTTCACTCACCTAAGCCCGGAAGTTTCTTAATTTGAAACCATTCGATTTCATTCCTAAATTCTTCGATGTTTGCTATAAGTCCCAGAAAGGACATAAAAATGTTAAGGTGAACTTTCATTAGCACATTCCTCTGGCTTTACCATAATTGTTTTTCCATCCAAAACAATTCTTAAAGGGCCAAATTAAACAATCAAATTTCCTTTCTGAGTCGCTGAATAATGTACTTCATCTAACCAGAGCCACGCACTAAACTAGAGCCGTAAGTAGAGCTCATCTCGATTATAAGGAAAAGTCCTTCTCCTACTAATGTCGCCTCTCTGTGTCTCAAATTCTGAATCCACATGTTCAAAGCACAGAGCTGAAAGCACTCCAAACAAAACCACAAAAGGCAAAACTACAGATCTCACAGCCCCGGCGAGGTCACAACACCTTAAAAAGAAAACAGATCATTTCGTTTTAAGGAGGATTGTGTGTAACACGGGCAATGAGAATCAGAGGATTAAAAACTTGGAGAGCCACGGAAGTGACAAAGAATGGACAGTCTGCCACCAGATCTACCTGATACAATTCCAAGAATGAACGAGGCCGTGAGTGGTAGAAGAGATTTAGACTTTACCCTATTGCCCAGGGAGCTGGACAAGAGATTTAATGACCCAGCATTACAATACTTCTTGAGAGTAGCACAAACAAACAAAGCACAATAAAACTTACCTTCAAAAAGGGAGCCCAGTTGGTATTCTCCGCTGAAAAAGTGTGGCATGGAAAATACAAATGCTCCCAGTCCTATCATAAAGGACGCAAACGTGAGCCATCTTGGTTTGTGTCCTCCTTCACCGAAGAATGATACAAATAAAGACAGCAAACAGAATGAAATATCATAGCTCGAGGATATCAGGCCAGTCAGGGAGCTCTTTATTTCATAGCGCTTCTCAATAGTGGAAATGCTAATATTTACCAGGCCATTTACTACAATACCTAAAAGAGAGAAAAGGAAATGTATGTGTATTACTATAACTTCATTGCGTAGATTATAATTACGAACACGGTGTTCTAAAATTTGGTTGTTCATTTCTTTTGCTATTTGTAAATGTGCTAGTCGTAAAAGTCTCAAAGTTTCAAATGAAGAAAACCCAGGTTGAAAATGTCTTCAAATTGTTCACTTGGAAATGTTCCAATGATAAACAAAGCTAATGCCCGCTATATAGTTAATTGGTCTTAATTCATTTTTCTTTAAATGACAAATGTAAGTCAGAATAATACAATCCCACGAAACCAGTCTACTGGAGCTTTCAAGTGTAGCATACTTCCACAGGCCCTCCAGGAAGAACACAAAAAGTACAGGTGAGCCCACAAGCCCTCACAATAATGTTCAACTGTTTCCTAAGCCTTTAACCTATCTATCAATAGCAAGAATTTATATTGGCTTAGTTATAGAGGGAGAAATTGAATTCTCAAACCTTGTTTCTAAAGCTTTTCTTGACATTGAATTTATCATTGAAAAGGTTCTGGGGCAAAACTAAACACAAGCTAAAGTGAGCCCAAGTCCAGCCTAAATTTCATAGCAAGACCCTGTCTCAAGAAAAAAAAGCTAAAACTCTTATTTTGACCACTAGTATTCTAAATCGCATGCAAAGTAAAACATTAGTACTTCATACACTTGAAATAAATGACTAGAAGAGAAACAAGACTTAAAATTTAATTTTGCCTGACTTGAAAATGTCCTGCCCAGATACAGACTAAATTTATACGCATTTAAACATTGACATACATTGACAATAAAAAGAATCTAATTGAATTTTAACTAGTTATACCTTTTAGGAGTGATTAAGAACTGTTTTCATTGGTAATAATTACAGTATACATGTCACAATCTCTTTAAACGTTGCTTTATCAAAACTACAACTGAAAAAGGAAAAGGGATGAAGAAATAGATTGAGTTACGGCCATGTACCAACTTCCCCACAAGGAATGTAAATGTTATGCACTGCACACATGTACTGATAAAGAAAAGAAAAATTTAAAAATATGTATTTCAAAAAAATTGATAGAGCAACTTTTCAAAATCCTGACATAATATTTGCTTTTAATGTCAGAAAACCATAAAACAATGAACAATTCCTGGGATTTCAAAACAAAGTACCTGAGGGCTGGGGATATAGCTCAGTGGCATAAGTGCCTGCCTGGCAAGTGCAAGGTCCTGAGTTTCATCCCCAGTACCACAAAAAACGGAAAAAAAAAAAAAAAAAAATACCCGTAGCATTGATGAATGACACTTTTCTAAGGAAATATTTAGCTTACGATATGAAAATTTCCCCATCCAAAATTCAACTTCCAAACACACATGGCGTACTGACTCATAACCCAGTCACTAAAAATCATTGCCTTTCTGGTAAAAAATTCTCTTTGAAAACGGAAGTTGAAATACCTCTGAAAGGACAGCATCTTAGGCCAATGCATCCCTAAGGGAATCCTAAGGTGTACAAACTCTAAGAACACTGCTTTAAAAACAGTTCCATGAAACACTACACACTACTTCCATTGTAAATGCATGAAAACAAGAAGCACCTTAGGACATTCAGCGCTAAGGTAAACCCTCTTTTTTTTAGAAATACTATGTAAAATCTGTCTAGTTTTGCTTTGCTCCCTAATTAAGTATCTATTAATATACCATGGAAAGAGTCTTCCTGGGGATCATGGTTGAGATACATGGAAGTAATGCTTTTAGTTACTGGAACTTGAATTGGAACATGGGTTAATTCCCTTTGATCCCAGACTGTGCTTTCTGAATTGCCTCTGGGTAGATGCAGTTCCAAGCTAAACCTGACACGTTTTTTTTTTTTTTTAAAGGGCCAATTATAGCCAGGTGTGGTGGTGCACGCCTGTAATCCCAGCACTTGGGAGGCTGAGGCAGGAGGATCTTGGTGAGTTCAAGGCCAGCCTGGGCTACAAAGTGAGCTCAAGGCAAGCCTGAACTGCATAGGGAGACCCTGTCTTAAAAGGACTAGAATAAAAGAAAACAAAATAGTGCCAAAAACATTTGATAGCAAGTTTAAACAATGTCTTATATTAAATGTAAAATGATATAGTCTTAATATTAAATTTTCAAGATTTTCTTTTCTTTTATGGTGATTTTATGGTATAGGGCCTTCAGTTTAAGCTACATCCTCAGCCCGTTTTAACTCTTTTATTTTGAGACAGGGTCTCCCTAAATTGCTAAGATGCCCAGGCTGGGTTCAAACTTGTGATCCTGTTACCTAGGCCTCCGGGCGAGACACGCCTGCAAAAGCTTATCGAAAAAACTTTAAAGTCTGAGGCAATATTTCTATTTCTGTTCACCTTTTTGAGCTGTGCAAGCCCTTGACACTGAGATATTTTAAAAACTCTCTGATTTAGGACAACTAGGATCAAAGTATGAATGGAGAGAAAACTTTAGAGGGGACAAGAAAAGCGGAAGGGGAAAAAGTGGAGGTGGAAGTAACTCAGGCACGAATTTTCAGAGGAAGAGCGGAAGCGGACTTGCGCTCCACAAAGAACTAGCACTTAAGCTGGGCAAAGCCAGGGACAGAGGAGCTCCTGGGAGAGAGGAGCGGAAACAAGAGCAGGAAGTATGCTATGCACTTGAATTTAGTTTCCCATTAACTGAGACAAGAGCAACTTCTAACTCCCCATCCAAAATACTTCTTGGAGTGCACCTCTTCCGATCAATCCCTGACGACTTAACAAAATATTCTGAGACCAGGATTCACATGGCCCCAAAGCCTCTACATACCAAATCCAAACTGAACCCCAGCACCGCCGTGAGGCCCCCCACACCCCAACCCGGCTGGTGCCCGAGCTCCCTTCCCACCGCCTCCGTCCCTCCCGGCACTGGCTGCTCCGCCTGCCGGGCGCGGGCTGGGGGGGCGCCGTCCCCCCACCTAGCGCAGCTCGGCGGCCTCCTCCCAGGGGTTCACAGCCAGCGGCGCCCCGGGAACCGGTCCCAGCCTCGCGGACGCGCCGGGACGGTGCTGGGACTGCAGGGCTCCCTCCGGGCTGGGTCCCCGGGCGCGCGCACCGCCCCACCTGGCAAGAGCGCGGACAGCGACGGCCCGCAC